CTTCTATAATTTTGAGAAAATATTTTGAGAATTTTATAATAAAATAAAATCTTTTGTAAGGAAATCTTTATTAAAATATTTTTGAAATTTTGATCTTAAAATTTTTTGGTAAATTCTTTAAAAATAAAATTTTTGATATATATATTTTTTTTTATTTTATGTTAATGAAAATATTTTTTTGAATAGGTTGTAAATGTGAGAATTGGTCATAATACCGACTGCATTTTTTTTAATATTTGGAATAAGTAATAATGATTATTTTAAAAATGTTATGTCATAATTTTAATGTTTTATATTTAATGTAAACTATAAAAGTTACAATTGTCATAATACTCATCTCAGAACCTTTAAAAATAATTATAATTAAAAAAGGCTAGTTGAGCATGTTTTGAGATGGTTTCACTGATTGTAAAGCATATAAAGGTGACAATTGTCATAATACTTATTTCACATATGTTTTAATTGAAAATAGAGAAAAATGATTATTTCAAACATGAATTAATATTTAATGTGTAAACTATAAAGGTGACAATTGTCATAATATTCATATCAGAACCTATAAAAATAATTTTAGGTAAAAAATAGGCAAGAAAAAAATTTTTGAGCATGTTTCGAGATGGTTTTAATGATTGTAAAAATTGTCACAATCGTTATTTTTGAACTTTTTTAAAGCAAGTAGATAAAAATTTATTAAATATAAAATTAAATGAGGATGTACCATAGAAAAGTGACAATTGTCATAATCGTTATTTTTGAACTTTTTTGAATTTTTTTGAAGCAACAGAGTAAAATAATAAATTGTAAACATGTTAAATTGAAATTTAAATGTAGATGTACCATAGAAAAGTGACAATTGTCATAATCGTTATTTTTAATCTTTTTTGAATTTTTTTGAAGCAAAAGGGTAAAATTATATATTGTAAAAATGTTAAATTAAAATTTCAGTGAAGATGTACCATAGAAATGTGACAATTATCATAATTGTTATCTTTGAACTTTTTTGAATTTTTTTAAAAATATATATTGTAAACCTGTTAAATTAAAATTTCAGTGAATATGTACCATAGAAAAGTGACAATTGTCATAATCGTTATTTTTAATCTTTTTTGAAGAAATTATATATTGTAAACTTATTAAATTAAAATTTCACTGAAGATCTACCATAGAAAAGTGAAAATTGTCTTAATCGTCATTTTTAATCCCTTTTAAATTTTTTTGTTACAGGGTAAAATAATAAATTGTAAACTTGTTAAATTTAAATGTGAATGTACCATAGATAAGTGACAATTGTCATAATGGCCATTTTTAATCTTTTTTTGAAGCAAAAGGGTAAAATAATAAATTATAAACATGTTAAATTAAAATTTAAATGAGGATGTACCATAGAAATGTGACAATTGTCATAAACGTTTATTTTAATCTTTTTTGAATTTTTTTTAAGCAAAAGGGTAAAATTATATATTGTAAACATGTTAAATTAAAATTTCAGTGGAGATCTACCATAGAAAAGTGACAATTATCATTTTTAATTTTTTATTTAATTTTTTTGAACTTACAGGGTAAAATAATAAATTGTAAACATGTTAAACTAAAATTTCAGTGAATATGTACCTTAGATAAGTGACATATCTAATTCTCAACTCCCTTTTGAAATTATTTTAATATATATATTTTGAAATTATCACATTACTCATATCCATTATTTTTAAATTAGGTTAATATGATCTTGTTGGGAAACACTTAAACCTCTGGGCAGATGATAATAGTATCATATGTTAAATTTTTTGAGCCAACCGGAATGGAGTTGAACTAGAAAGATGCATCAATATAAACATGATATTTTTGGGAACAACAAATTTAAAAATATTTTTTCTTTAATCTTTTAAATTAATTTTAGATCTTAGAAACTACTATTTGGATATATCTAGTAAAATATGCACCCCTCTGATTATACTATTCATACAAAAAGCTATTTATATTGTTATCATCTAAATCAGTCATATATATGAATTTTTATTTATTAAAATTTCAATGTAAACAATAACTTTATAATGAAATAGGTTATATAAATAATGATTTAAAATATCACATTATTTAACAATGTACGATTAAGCTTTATAATTAAAATATCATCAAGTATATCTTTGTCTAATCTTGTCCTTAGAGAGGTTACAGTTAGTGCTAATGCACTAAATGCTCTCTCAACTGAGACCTGGGTGCAAGGAGCAGCAAGAATTATTTGAGATAATTTAAATAATCTGCATCTTGGTGTTTTCTTGAAACCCAATATTGCAAAATATTTTGGGAGGATGGCAATCTTTTGTTGTATAATAACGATTTTATTTTTAGCTTCATATCGTTATTACATAGAGGTCCCTTCTTTCAATCACGCTCAATGTATCTCTCTCTCCCTCCTTTATTTATTTTTATTTAATGTTTTGCCTTATGAATTAAAGAAAATAAAATATCTCAAAAAAATGAAATTTGCTGGTGCCAGCGAGGCGGCACCAGATTGAAAAAAAGTAATGTTGTCATATCTGATATCAGTATAGAACTTTTTTCTTAATTGGTTCATTCAAAGGTCTCCCTGATTATTTTTTAGTAATTTTTCCCTCCGATACGATAACAATGCGTTAACAATATTTATTTTAAATTTGATAATGCAAGATATACTATATTTTACAAATTTTGAGTTATATATGGGCGCATTATCCTTAATTATTAGTGAATTCAACGGCAAAATGGATGATAATTCATCCAGGTAAGCTTTAAATTTTATTGCTGTAATGGTACCCAAAACCAATACCTTTTCCCCCTTGAAGGAGGGAGTTTGACGGATGGCCTCTTACCCATAGGCCCATCCATAGTAAGAAATGACGTGAGAATTCTAAATAGAATATATATTGAAATGACATGTTCACATTTTTAGGCAATATTCTTTACAGATATTGATAACATCTGGGGAATTCCGTCTCTCGAGTTCTTTTCCAACCCTTTTTCAGCTCCATCCTATTGATTTAATGAATCTATCAAGATATTCCCGAATCACTCATTATGAGATGAGGTAGTAAATTTTCCACTATATTTCTTATCGTAAATCCATTATTACGTTCTATTAGCTGTATAATTTTATTCAATTCTGTTTATGGCTATTGCAATTTTTTCCTGACTCCAATTGCTATATTTCTTTTGTGGTTTATGATAGGTATCAGAGTTTATTGTAGAATTTATTTGATTGGGTAAAGAATTATTTGTTATACCAAATAAAACAAAATTTGAAATATTTTGAGAATAAGATGGTTCTTCCTGTGAGGAAAAATCTAAAAGATTATATATAATAAACAATATAATGTTAATTGGTACCAACATGTAGATGTAGAAAGATCTAAGAGACCGGAGATAGTGACTCAGCTAAAAACCTGCTCGTTTCAGCAAATAAATTCTAAAATGATCATAACGATTATGACAATTGTCATTTTTCTATGGTACATCCTCTTTTAATTTTAAACATGTTTACAATATATTATTTTATATTTTTGCTTCAAAATAATTCAAAAAAGATTAAAAATAACGATTATGACAATTGTCACTTTTCTATGGTAGATCTCTACTGAAATTTAACGCTATAAATAGGCTTACAATTAAAAATTATAATTCATTAATGGGCTGGAAATAATTTATTAAATTAATTATATTTTATGAAACCCATCTTTGCCATAAAAAAGTGTGATATGCATTAGAAATGATTCAGTGAAAAGGAATAATGTGGGATTCTTGTTTTTTCTTAAGCGCCATCATCATTTAAAATGTATTAACCTTTTCCTTAAATCCCATAAAAAAGTTGAATAACATAACAACAGCCCACAAGCCTTCTATATAAAGTTGAGATATTTGATTGAACATTTCATATTAAAATATATATCTTTTATAAGATTAAGGAATCCTAGAATATGAATCAACACCACCCGCTGTCCGTTAACATTTTTTATAAAGGTTTTTAGACCAACACCTTTTAACCCAGCCAAGCCCGTCAGCTTTTGTGCTAGTCCGAGCAGATCTCTAGCCAAGATTTGTCTACTAATCCTTTATATACTATGACATGGCAAATTATTCCTGCAGTGAATAAATTATATCTCATTTTTATCAAAAAATGGTCCGCCGAATCTTAAAATTTTTTTATTTATTTTATTAAGGTGTAGTGGCGATGATGGTGGCAAGTTCGGAAAGGACTGATAAATTTTAAAAATCGAAGAAACAATATTTCATGATAAATATTAAATATCTTCCATTTATATCAATTTTAATATAATAAATTTTGAGAATAAAGCCAGAAAATATATCAAAATTATAATAAAATAATTAATAACACTAATGGCTATGGTCGATGACCTACCTTTTTCTTTTTACCTATTTAATTTTTTGATACCTTTATATCGTTCGTTAGCTAACTCATTCATTTGATGATTTCTAGGGATTACAATTAATCTTCCCGAAATCCCCCCATATTTAATTAACTTTCAACAATACCTTTAAAACTCGATGTTATTCTATTATATATGCTATGTATGCCCTTTTTGCCGCTAATACTTGGTTTTAAATAATACTCTTGAAAAAATTATAATATAAAAGGTTATTAATGATAAAAAAAATATAAAAAGCTAATATGGGAAATTCGTTTTTGTGATAGTGATATAAAGATATAGATTTTTTTAAAGGCAAAGTGATTGTAAAAAAAAAATGAATATATTTTTGTTTAAAAAAATCGTAATCTTCTACTAAAAGATTATATTTCACACATACGTGATTATATAAAAGCTGGAAAAAAAGTAATAAATTAATTTGCTATAATAGTATTTTTGAAAAAGTTGCGTTTTTTTTGAACGAGTAAAGCTCGTCAGATTTTAAGGTACCGTTTTCAGAACTGAATAAAAGTGTCAAATTGTCAACTTACTAATCGATGTTTTATGTAATAAATATAATTTATTTTTTAAAAAATTAACCTATTAGCTTCTTCCAGTTTGGCCAGCAGGACCAAATCTTGATCAACAAATATGGAGTCATCTTCCATGAGCATTAATCCTTGGTAAACCGGGTCCAGCTTGGACTGTTCCTCCCCGTCGCCCATTCGAGCCACTCCTATCTTTTCCCCATTCTCCTCCAAATCATTCTCTCCACTTTCTTCCGAATGAGCTTTCCCATTTTTGAGCATACATATTTTCCCCGCCTCGTTGAGAGCCGTATCGCTGTCCGAGTTATCGCTCCCGTTGAAAAAATTCCGGTTTTCGAATCCGTTAACAACCAAGATGGAGAGATTTTTTTCATCGTCATCGCCAATGCCCCCGTGACGGCCTGAGCGGGTGGTGGCGTTGATTATCGCCGGTTTCGCTGTATAGGCCGGTTGCCCGTTAAAATTGGCAGTGAATGATTTGGGGTCCACTTCATCGTGGGAGATCTCGAGCATAGAACCGGGTTTAAGTTAAAAAATGATGGTAAATTTAGACCAATGGATAATATATATTTTTAACCCTAAAAAAGGAGTAAGAGTTGGGTGGACTCTAGTTTGTTGAAAAATTGTAAACGAATCGAATTTCTTTCTTTAAATAAATCAATGTGCAGAGTCAATTGCTGGAATTTGATAATTTCTTTAAAAAAATCATGAATATAAATACAAAACATTAATTAGTTAAAAAAAATTATACCATTTTGTTTCGAGAATATCAATATGAACCTTATCAAAATTTATATAATATAATTAATATACTCTACTTATTAATTTTAAAAAAATTAAAAAATGTTACAAATTTACAATATTTACATATAAATTTTGATCGTGTTATTTAAAACGTTAAAGAATAGAATATAGATATTATATAATAATTTTATTTATATTTATTATTTTTTAATATAATCATATTTTTTTAAAAAACAATATTTATTTCAAATTCAAAATAGAAAATAATCGAAATCAACTTAATAAATTGTAAATTCTAATTTTTTTAAAAAAATAAACTATATTTTCAGAAAATTTAAACTAGATGTTAAATAAGGGTAATTGAACCTGTGGACATCTAAATTCTAAATACCGGAAAATGGTTTTAAAATAACCCTCTGTGCCGTTTTTCAGGGTGCAAAATGGAAAGTTAAAAACTAGTGGGGGTGGGGCGGAGTTTGCAATTTAAGACTCGAGGGGTAATTCATATGGAGGAATGGGAAGGAGCAATAGGGAAAAATAGGCATGTTGAACTGAAAACCCTATCAATCGCTGATTAAAAACGCATTCATCTCAATATTATTTAAATAGAAATAAAATCAATTAAGTCTTATTCCTCTCAAAGACAAAATAATTAAAAAATTTATTAGGAAACACGCACCAGTTCCCTTTGCCGCCTTTTTTAAAAGCAATCAGATCCTTAACCCCACCCCACTCCCTCTTATTTTAATCCATGAGCCCCCCCCCCACCACCACCTTAGCAGCACTTTGAACTTAGTAATATAATTTATTAACTAATGTATTTTGCTTTCTTTTAATAGAAAAATAATAATTTTAAATTTTATTTTTTGCCGCAAAAAAAAGGTCAAGGATAAAAGTTTTATTTTGAACAAAATAAATTATTAAATTAATATTTTGCATAAATGTATTATATTACGTATCATATTAATATTGAATTATTGATAGATATTTTTAAAAGTGTGCAAGTGTGTATGTATAAATACTCAGTCAGTAGGCTAGCAACAATACCAATATTTTAATACCAACATCTTTTTGGTTTATAAAATCGGATATTGCGACAGTTTCTAAAAACAATAACACCTAGTGTCAATACCAGTAATTGGGCAAATACAAATATTATTCAAAATTTAAATTAAAACAAATATCTTATATGTGGATTTATTTACTAAATTTTTTTGGTCTTCATTTTGTAGATAACGCTAAAAATATCTTATGTTTAATTTACCTCAAGTGATATATTATTTGTTTTGAATTTACCGCAAAAATATTTTGGGGCAATTATTGGTACAATAATTAAGATTAAATAATATATCGATATCTTATCTACACTTATTAGATAACTTTAGCATCTGTGATAACAATATTTTTGTGTCTATGGAAATAATATCAATTTATTTAAGATATCGTATTTGAAGTCAAAAATCTTTAAAAAAAATCAAAACTTAAATAATTTTGACTATGAAATTTTTTTCTAATTTACAAGGAGAATCATGCAGCTAACTCAAGAGTTTTAATAATAAAAAATAATAAATATATATTTATTTAAAAAATTACTGATCTTTGACACTCGACTTTTGTTATGGATGGAAAAGGAAGGGTTGTGATAAGGAAATTTTTACCACATTTACATGAATGAAAGTGAAGGGGGGGGGGGAATACGATGTTAATTTCAACATTATATTATATAGTTTTTTTATAATAAAAAGAAGATTTTTTACGTTTATTCATTTATTTCATGTAAGAAATCTATTTGTATTATATACCACACTTCATTATTTGATAATAATTTTAAATTCATTTGTGAATAAATGAAATGACATTTTATTTTTAAATATTTTTACAAGAGCCTGAACGGAGGAAAAAAATATCAGATAATAGCATAATTTTTGTTTCATCTTATTCCTTATTTCTTCCTTCTATTTTTTATTCATTCCATTTATTTTTGTTTTACACAGTGAGACGCGCAATAATACAAACTAACCCTTAATCTTGAATCTGTTATTTATAAGAAAAGACAAAGCAAACAGAATTATAGTAAAAGAACCTAGAACCTAAATTTACCTTTAATTATATTTTTTTAAACTAATTATTTTTACTTCTAATTATTAGAAGCTTCTTATCGAAAACAATTTATAGAATTATATTATATAAATTCGAATAGAAAATAATCGGCAAATCATTACCTGTTCGAAGTAAAATTAAGCTGAGGAATCGATGACACATAATTATTATATATGTCGCGCCCTTTGAAGTGTTCAATATGACACATTATATTACAACTCCTTCTAACATATCCCCCCCCCAATATAATTAATCGTAAATTATTTATTAATTTTTTATTAAAGTCAAGTAATTCAATTCATTCGAGTTTATTAAATTTTATAAATAAATTTTGATAAGAAACTTATAAAAAAACATAAAAATATGCTATAAATTATAATATATATATAAATAAAAGGTAATCAAGAGCGAAGGTGTCAAAAATGTCACTATAAAAGATAAGAAGGAAGGGCAAGGGGGGGGGGGGGTTATAAAGGATGATAAAAATGGTTATGATTTTTTTTCAAAAAAAGGATATTAAAAAAAACATAATTTCCTTGAATGGGAATGGGAAACCATTCTTCTAACTGGGTGAAAAATCTTGGAAAATAAGAAAATAATAAGATATCTTTTAAGGTTTCGTTATTTAAAAAAAAAATTGACTTAAACCCAAACCGATCATTTGGGGGTGGGGGGGAGGGGGGTCTGCTCGCACCGCAAGGGCTGGCGGATTCTTTTTCATATAAGTTTTTGTGATTGAGATGAAAAAATTATGGCATATTAAGCAACACCAATATTATATATGCCTTAACGAAAAAGATTATAATATAATCTTATTATCGGCTTGACGATGAATTAAAAATTTCGGAGCGAGTTCGAGCTAAAAAAAAAATTATAAAAATTTCGGAGGAGATTGAAGTTGGCGGTCTCCCCTGCATTCACATCACATAGCGCGAATATTCGGCGAAGTAAACTAAATATGCTGTGTTTTTGTATATTTCGCCGCGAATTAGCGCTAAATGTGAATGCAGGGAAATCAGGCAATCAATTTGTGGACTTAACATGTGTCAACTTTAAAAACGAGGTCAGAGATGGATGATGGACAAGGCATGACAATCAAAATGAAGGCTAATGATAATATACCACATCGTCGGACAACATATAATATTTAAACAAATTTTATTTTATTAAACTATTTTTATTAACCCCCTTCCAGTTGATTTCAGAAAAAAAGGGATCTAACCTTCTAAACCACAGCTATCATTTAAAAATTGATATTCTTTTCTGTGTAAGGATAATTGGCGTGTTTTGCTTCTTATAATCATTACTCGAAAACCAGTCAGCCAATAAAGATGATGAATAATAAGAGATAACACATATAAAATGAACCTCTGGCGAGTCATCTACAGAAAAGATTAACTAAAGTTTTTTTGTCCAGCGACTACAGCCTTCGTTTATTTTTCGAAAAATTATATAAGCTCATCCTCTTCGCGAAATATGTCAATGGTTTTTTTAAAAAACAGTAAAAATATTATCATGTAATGCATCTATCCCTGAAGATTTTAGCTCAGTGAGCCAAGCTTTAACTAAAAAATCGTTTTATCCACCATGAATTATGAGTAAAATGAATTTCTTAATAGACCTAGGGATAAATTTTAATGTCTAGTTGTTATTAAAAAGCCAGATTGGGTCAATTTTTGAAAATGGCCCGATTAAGATTATAATCAAAATAATTTTATGTAAGTCTGGAAACTTATCGTAGATGGCAGAAATATTTGGATATCTATCTCGAGGCTTACATAATATTATTTTGGTTAAAATCTTAATCGGAGTTTTTTAAAATCGACTTAATTGGGCTTCTTAACAACACTGCTAATTATCATACCAGATCAATTAACAAATGTTCATAGGAGTACGCAGGGGGAAAATCAGTTCCCCCTTGATGAATTCTCAAGTTTCCTTCAATAAAAATAATACCTCTATAATACCCCCTCCCCCGTCTTTTCCAAAAAAAATAAATATAACATGTAGTTATAAACAGCAATTTTATAAAAAATATAAGTATAAGTTAACAATTCTTTAAAATAATGACTATAGAAATGTTTCAGAGAAGAAAAGGTTTTAAAAAAATAAACTGAAACCAAAATTATTTTTAGAAAATAATCAAATGCTTATTAACAAAAGGCCTAAGACTCTCCGTTAAAATTTATGAAGGAAACCATTGAAAAGCCCCCCCCCCACTAGTATTGTTAAAGGCCCTATTAAGATTTTAATAAAAAAGTTATATTATGTAAGCCTGGAGATTTTGATTTGCCAAATCTCGAATCTTACATAATATTATTTTGGCTAAAATCGTAATCAAACTGTTAAATCGGCCCAAATCGGGCTGTTTAACAACACTACCCCCCCCCCCCATCCATAAAAATTCTATTTACGTGTATATCAGTTCAAGGGCTTAAAACATTGTGCAGGTGAGCGGGCGAGTTAATTCAAAACAATAAACGGGTGAGCGTTCAACCCCGTCCATTGCATACCTCAGTGCCATAGTCATGAATCAGGATAGAAAGGTCATTCAAATTTTATTGAATAACTTGTGGGGCGAGGAAGGGGGAGGTTATGATATTTTAGGTCGGATTAAAAATAATTATTTATCATTGCTATCATTTTATATTTCAATGTGATTATTTGTCATTAAATAAAATTTATATTTAAATTATATAGTATATATTTATACTAATAAATGTGGAATTTAATTTTAATTATGTTAATATTAAACATGGAGCCGGAGGTAACATTACCATTAAATTATAGGCCCGAGGCCCGAAAAATATGAAAGTTATGTTTCCTTCCTATACTTCAGTTTTTTTGCATAATCGAATATCACATTTATAAAATAAATTTCAAAAAATTTAGGAGTTTGAAAATATTCTCATTTATTTTGTAATTAATACAATAGATATAAAACATCATTAAATTATAGTGTTGTAAACAACGAAGTTCGTTTTGAACCGTTGGTGAACGAAGTTTATTTTTGAACGTGTTCGTGAACGAAGTTCGTTTTGAATGCGTTCGTGAACGAAGTTCGTTTTTTTTGAAAAAATGATGAAGGGCGTTTCTTTTATTTTTGACGAACTTTGATCGTGAACGCGTTTCTTTTTTATGACGAACGTGTTCAAATTTAACGTTCCTTCAATTTTAAAACACCTTTTATTTTTATTTATATGAAAAATTTAATATTTTATAAACAACTGTTTTTCCTTTTCACATTTCAATTTTTTTTAACACACCATTATTATAGTTTATTAATTTGAATATTATTGTTTATATTTTAATTTAATAGATTAACATAGGCATGGATATTATTATTTCATCATCAACATCTGATTCTAAAAATTCAAAATCAGATTAATTAACATTACCATTATGATAAATGTTTTACAGTAAAATTCTATATTGTAGGAACTAATTCAATACTTTCAAATATAAACGGTGCCCAAAAAGTATTATATAAGTTTTAAAATCTTCAAGTTCCAATTTAAAACGACATTTGATTGTAATATTACTTATTTTATATAATATTACTAAGTAAAATCATTTTTGAAGAAAAAATGCATTTGGGCTATTTGACCCCAACAATAACGATAGTTATTTTAAAATTAAAAAAAATTAGTGGTCTAAAATATGAACAACCATTGATAGACACCGTATTAAATGGGATTAATAAAAGGTATTAAGCCTATCACTATCAAATTAATAACATATTTTATTTTTTTAAAGATTTGAACATATATATATGAAGACTCAGTATGTTCTTTCTGCAATTATACATCCAGTTATTTAAACTTCAACGGCCATAAATAAAACTTCCACAGAACGAACATTTAAAAAATAAACTTATCGCGTTATTGAAAAAATGCATAATCCTAGAAATGATAATGCAAGAACTGTTAATTTCGAGATATCCTTTTTTTAACAAGGAAGTAGAGGATGGATTGGAAGAGGATAACTTATCTCACTTTTTTACAGCAAAGGACAAAATAAATGTTTTTAATAAATTCCCAGAGTTAAAAGAGTTTTTTATTAAGTATAATATCGCAATCCCCTCATCTGCCCCTGTAGAGCACGTTTTATAGTTAATGCAGTACTAACTGCCAAGCGTTCCTGTATATCAAATGAAAATTTTGAAAAACTAATTGTTATTAAAAATTAATAAGAAAATTTTTTTATAAAAATATCTTTTTTTCACTATATTATATTGTATTTATAATTATATTATAAAAATTAAACTATAATATATTGTGTTATAAAAACTATAAAACATTTATTTAAATATTAAATTAAATTTTTAAAAAAATTTATCATAAAATTTTGACCGAACGTGAACACGTTCCTTTTTTTAGAAAGTGAACGTGAACGCGTTCGATTTTTGTCAATGAACGTTGAATGAGTTCGATTTTTCTTAGAAATGTTTACAGCACTATTAAATTATCAAAAATTTTACTGAATATTTAAATTTATTGCATAAACATTAAAATATAGAATATAATTTTTAAAAAAATTGAGTTTGAGATTTGTTTACTGTATGCTTAATTTTTTTAAAAAAATCGGCCCACGGGTCCCAACGGGCAATGAGCCGTGTCCAAATCGAAAAAAATTGCCGCCGGACCATGGGCGGACTTGGGGCCAAAAAATCTCGATTTTGCAAATTTATCCTAAATATAATAGGTTGCTAGAAATCCTTTTTCTTAAAAAAATATGTAAAGCCGTTAACACTACATATCCTTGTAGGTAAATTTTTCCAAATTTTTTCCCCAGAAATGTGTTTATTTTAGGTCCTTTATCGTTATCTAAAAGTTCAAATTTTAATCTTTATAAGATACAAGTTTTTTCATCACATTGGGGTATATTTGAACATTCCCAAAAACATCTACATGAGTTGTCAACTTTACTATAAAAAGTAACGCCGTTATATTTCGCAACACTCTATAAAAAATATTGATACGTTACTTTGTTTTAAAAAGTATTAAAGTCATTACTATGAAAAAAATTGAATTGTTTTCCTTTTACCAATCGATATATATTATCTAATTCGGAATTTGAAATAAATTGTTGGACAGAATATTTTTTACACGTTATGATTCCATAAATATATTAATAATCAATTTTTTTCAACTATTTTAATGCTGATTTTTTAAAATTTCTAAGATCTTTGTCTCTCAACACCTCTTTTGCTGTATAGAACATTTGTTCAATAGGTGATGAGGGTGGCAAGGATGTACTATATTTTATCAATGTCATACTTCCAAAGTTTCAAAATTTTTAAGATCTTCTTTTGGCAAATGATAGCATAATTAGTGAAATTTTGACATTTAGATAATATTTGTTTGACTAAAATCTTGATCTAGCTGTCTTTTTAGTTGGTGAAATTGAGATAAAACAGACATCTTCCTCACAAAAATTTTTTTTTTCCCATCTTAGAAATGAGCCTTGTCACAAATCCTCTCCATATATGCCTTATTATCAATATTTTTCATCAAAAATAAATCAAATAATGTTTATTTTATTCATTTACCCTAAAAGAAATTTGCATAATAAGCAGTACACTCTTATTTAACTGACACCCAATGGAGAAATAAAAAAATAACAGCTTTGCAATTTTTTATATAAATATTATACCTAAACACGATTAAAATATACTAATATTAAAATATAAAGAACATAAAAAGTAGCAAGTTACTTTAATGCTTTACTTTTTCCCAATAGTAATGGCAAACAACTTTAATTTTGTTATACAGCACTATTATATTATGAATAATAAAATATTAAAAATATATTTTATAAAAGAGATTTACAAATTATTTTTTAAATGTCTCATTTGAGCAATTTCAAAAAGATTGAGGTTTTGTAGGGTAGCCGAAGATATTAACATGTTAAATTTTGGCTAAAGCTTTAAACAAATTTGGGGTAATTAAAATTTATTTACATTATGAGACATAAAGTCATTATTAAATATTAATGTAAACCTTTTTTCAAAAAAAAATTGTTATTATACTAAAACTGAATTCACTATCCCACTTCATTGATATTGGGCCACTCTTAATTTTTTTTGGCTTACTAAAAACTTAATTTTTTTTGGCTTACTAACAAAATTTAATTTAAAAAAAAGTTGGGCAAGCCTAAAATCTGAAAAACTTTATTATTATAAAATACTAATCACCCAGCTATATTAAAATTGTGTTAAACCTGCCTCTGCTATTATTACTATAAATTAACAAGATTGACACACAGTCCGATTTCCATATAAACTATCATTGAATCTTCAATGAAATTAAATCTAAATGTTTTCAATAGGATTGAATGTTGGAGAATGTTAATAGATTGATATTAAGATCTTTTCAAAGTTTTTGCAGATTTACTAGTATGACAAGGAAATCTCTCTTACTGGAAGGCATGATTTGCTTCATGCCTTAATAAATGAATAGATTTGACAATATCAGTACTTAGTTGTTGATATCTTGATATCTAACAGTAATTATTATGTTATTTATAAATAGAATACATCCTGGGCCATTTGTAGTCTATCATTAATATGGAAATTTAATAGTTATTTGTACGCAATTATTAAGGAAAGTGTTTTTGTTCTTATAACACTATTTTTTAATGTCCCAAAATATAAATAAAATTTTGATTCATCACTGATTATGTACCCCATTGCTCATTTATCTAGTTTTTTAAATCACGAATTAGGTATTTTATATAAGAAAAAATATTTTTAAAAAAAACACTTTTCTCATACCTCATAATACAAGTTTTAAGTATATTTACTTAAAATATAAGTAACCTAAAAATTAAATCTAATATATTGAAATAATTTTTTAATTAACTTAATATTCTATTTAAGCAATAAAAATAAAAAATATATATTCCATAAGTTTTTAATTTAAATTAAGCAATAAATAAAATTTTATAGGATAAAATAAGATAATTTATAAATTAGTATCAGTTTGGGTAAATTGTCACAAATTAGCATTTTAACCATTTATATATGAATTATATTTATAAACTTCACAAAAATATAATATATTTTAAATATCATATTCATAGGTTTTTATTACCTTTCTTATCATCGTGTCAGGTCATTATATTCCATATGAATTCAGGTAAATTATTATAAATCCGCTAGAAAACTATTTCTTTTTTAATAAGTATGTTTAACTTTATATCAAATATTCAATATAAAATTACATCATATAGCTTGCCATATCCCATACATATATAAATGCGCAAAATTTAGAGAGGAGTAATAATATATTTTTGATTTTAGGCTATTTCGCGAATATATATTTTTTTTTGTAAATTTTGGAGTATTTCTTCAATTTACACCTCATCATTAACTGGGTAGTTATAATACCTGTAAGTAATTTACCATATATTCTTTTGAATTATCTTTAAAATTACTTAAATTATATATTTAAACCATATGTTTTATTTATAAATATTATGTACTAGGTAATTAATTTAAATGAATCTAAAATTGCAAATAACATATAATACTAGTTAATTTAGGCGGGTATTATGTTGTATAATTTTATAATAAAAATAATAAAATTTAAGTTTCAACTCAAAGATATTGCCGATATCTCATTAAAACTTAGGTTGTTAATCACATGAGTTATCGATTTGTTATTAAAAAAAAAATTTACCATACCTAATCCATATCTCTTAAATCTTTAATTAACCACAAATCCCATCCCAATCTATCTTAACTTCAATTCCACTCTATATCCTTACTTCGGTTCTTAGGCGTTTTCAGTGGAAGGAGGGGGTGGTAATCCCCCTCCCCTCCAGAAATATACTTCTTGGGAATATCATTTCAAGCTAATAAAAAATATTTTCATCCTCCCCTTCCCCACCTCCTGTCCACCAAATATATATATACAAATATCTTAAACAATAATTTGAAAGAAAGAATGTATAAGTTGTTCATTGTTTAAACTAAAACCAATGACTCTAATTCGTAAAAAAAAGCATTTATATAGTGTCACTATAAAGGGGGGGGGGCGTGCAGGGATTTGAGCTCCTTGAAAAATTTGAAGAGCTCCCTTAATATTTTGTTTTTTATATCAAATGTAAGAAAGTAATTTTGGAGGTTATTTTAAAAATATTTTAAAAATTGTTTGAGCCCCCTGAGATTGTAAGGGCTGTGACTCCCCTATTTATATCTAAAAAATTGATAAACCAAATTTAAGAAATGAAATATAAGCCAAGGCAAGTCTTAAGAAAAAAGAGGAATTTTTTATAATTACTATTAATGTGTCCTTAAAATTATTAAATAATATAATATATAAAATTTGATTTTTTATAAAGGGAATAACTTTGATTTCTCTTTAATAAAAGTAAAATTTGTTTAGTTCCACCATTATCTTGTTTTATGTTGCCATCTCTTGGTAACTAATTTTATACAATTTAAATAATGATAATATGTTGTTTTTATTAAAATTAACCTTCTTTCCTATAAAAATTTTTTATAGCTATGTATAGACTGAGAAACCCTGCCGAAGACTGCTAAGAAAAGGGTGTGGGGAACGAAGCCCCTAGAAATTTATTAATACCCTTATTAAGAAAATATGTTTTAGGTGTTAATTAAGAAAATTTCTTCATATAGACATTATTTGAGCAAAGTTATTATATATTAACAGAATGATTAAAACAGATACATGGTGTTAATATATTTGGACTGAATTTTTTATTTCTTTTTCACTGTCTTAATTATAATATTTACCTTACGGACTGATTTAATTATTTCTACAAGTCTTCAAAAACAACGTGCGCCGATTTCAAAGACACTGTTAACCCAGATCTTGATGATTTTAAATACCCTATATCTAGAATCAACGATTTAATTGCCAAATTAGCTAGAAGCAAGAAGTTCAGCAAAATAGATTTTTAACAAGCCTTCCTTCAAATCCCCATTCATAAGGACTCTAGAGATTTACTTACAATATCCGCGCACAAGTAATACTTCAGATTCACAAGACTTCCATTCGAACTTAAAACGTTTTCAGCCATATTTAAACAGACACTGTAACAAATTTCTGGAGATTTAAAAGATGTAATATTCTATATAGGCGACTTATTAATCACAAGTGATAACAACGAGATACACTTGGAGAATATAAAGAAAGTATTTGAAAGGATCATTAAATACTGATTAACACCTAATTTTGACAAAAGTTCGTTCCTGCAAGATGAAATACGATTTTTGACACACGACATAGACAAAGAAGGTGTACATCCTAATAGTGCAGTGGCGTCACTGGGGGGGGGGGGGAGAGAGTCGCAGGGACTCGAGCCCCCTAAAAAATTTGAATAGCCCCCTGAAGCAAAAAAAATTTTTTTAAATGGAATCTTAACCCCTTGAACTAAAAATAAATTTTTTTGATTAGCCCCTGAACGATTTCTTTTATGATTCTATTAAGTAATATATAGATTTCATTTTATTATTAAAAATTAATAAGACTGTCTAAATTTTTATTAAATGAATATTATATTAGGTTAGATTAATACACATAAATTATATTTTCACTATGTCAGCTTGCAATCAAATTCTGTGTTAAAAATAGAATAACAATATCACTCACTAAATATTAATTTCGCATTAACAGTTGAAGCTTAATTGACTATTATTGTTTAAATTATTATATAAACCTAATTAAATAAATATAATCATTTATTAATTGAAAAATAACAAATTAATTTAATATTGTAATTAGCTGAGTTCAAAATGACTAATCAACTGTATATTTATTTTTAAATTAAATTATCATACCTATTCCTAAAAATATTTTCAAGGTCCAAATAAGTATAAGAGATTTCTTTATAAAAAGTAAGTAAATGGACATATAATATAATTTTCTATTACAGGGTTTCCCATCCAAAAAAGGAAAAGTCCCAATCAAAAAAGGAAAAGGTTCAATCAAAAAAGGAAAAGTGTCAAACAAAAAAGGAAAAGTGTCAAACAAAAAAGGAAAAAGTTCAATCAAAAAAGGAAAAGGTCCGATCAAAAAAGGAAAATTGTCAATCAAAAAATTAAAATTCCCAAAGGTTAAGGAAAGAGTCCAATCAAAAAAGGAAAAGTGTCAAACAAAAAAGGAAAAGGTTCAATCAAAAAAGGAAAAGTGTCAAACAAAAAAGGAAAAGTGTCAATCGAAAAAGGAAAATTCCCAAAAGAAAAGGGTCAATCAAAAAAGGAAAATTTCCATTCAAAAAAGGAAAATCGTAATTTTTTAAAAAAAATATATAAACTTTTCAATTTTTTTTAAATTTATTTATTTTTGTCATTCCTTCTTATTTTATTTCTAACTTTTTGCGATTTCTTTATTTTATTTGTATCTTTTCTCACTATATCTTTTCTCAATTTTTTTTCTTCTCATTTTTGATAATTCTTTTAAGTATATTTAATTTTCATATAATTTTTTACATATGAAATTATTTAATTACAATTACGATATATATTTAATATAGTACGAAACAAAAATTTATATTAATCATTAATAATTTCTCCCCTTCTACATGGGATATATGTCTCCATATTTCTAAAATAATTTTTTGCATTTTCTTCAGATATTCCTCTTTCTCCATGTTCTATATAACGAATTAATTCTTCCTCGTTACTAGGATTTTTATTTCTGACAAAATCCTTCCATTGAAAAAACACATTCTCTATAGGATTAAGATACGGACTGTAGGGTGGTAAATATTTCAATGTATGTCCTTTTCTTTCGATCGATTCCCTAATTGAATGATTGTGATGAAATGGAACATTATCCATCACAAAAATCATATTAATCATGTTAGGTTCTTCAAAATGATTTAATATTTCATTTATATAGTTGCTAAAATATATAGCATTGCAAGGGCCATCAAGAACTTCGAATCGAAATATTCCTGCAATTGTGAGAGCCGCAATGATAGTGTAATTTATTGTCTTTATTCCTTGAACATTTTTAATTGCCTTTTTATTTATTTGGGAATATCCATATAATCGCCTCATTGATATTGAAAACCCGCTCTCATCGATAAATATAAATTTTTCCTTCATATATGATACATCTACAAACCAATTCGCTTATTCTTTGCGAATCTCTATATTTGATTCGTTATTTTCTCTAACTGAACGTAATGATACTCTTTTAAAGCTGTACCTAAATCCTGAGAGTAACCTTGATACCGTATTTTTTGATATTTCCACATCATATCTTTCTTTAATGATTTAACATAACCTTTTTAAGGATAAAGTGCAATCCAAATTTATACAATTTAATATATATTCTTCCTGCTCTTTATTTAATTTCTTGCGTGCGCCTTTGGGTAAGCCATATTTTATTCCATTTTTGAAATGAGAGTATTTAATATTTGTCACTGTAGCTTACTTTAAAACATGATGCTATATTTTTGATACTATCTTTTTTTAACGCGTCAATTATTAGAGCTTTTGTTTCACTGTTAATATTTTTTCCCCTTTTTACCATATCTTCATAATTTTATTTTTTAAAACAAAAAAATTTATTTTTAAAGAATATACTCAACAAATGGAAGTGAAAAAGATTATAAAATTTACCTCATTTGCGTTTAATTTTTCATAAATCAAAATAGTTTAAAAGATAATTAAATTACAAAATAATTATTTACTTGCTAAAAGGAATAAATGCGTTTTGAATATATTAAAATTTTAAAAATATAAGAATTTTAAAATGATTATATTTTATTAATTTACATATCGTTTGGTATTACAGTTCAAACTTGTTTATTATAACCAAACGATTAATTTAATATTGTAATTATCAGAGTTGTTAAAAGATACTTTTTAAATGGATCTAGATACAGATACATAGTCTCAAAAGTTATCTAGATACAGATACAGCGTCTAAAAAGTTATCAAGATACCGATACAATTTATAAATGTATCTGTATACAGATACATTTTTATTATGCTCTTATAGGTTTGCATAAACCTAAATTAATATTATATTGTGAAAAGGTCATGGTAAAGCAATAGAACTTGTTGTTGCTTCCTCTTCTTCGTCGATATAGATCTAAATAAATATATAAAGTTAAAAATTTAGTTATAAAATAAAATTTACCATTTCCATATTGTAATATTAAAATTTGTATGGTTTATTGATAAACCCGGACATAATATTTAAATTAATGAATATTTATATATTTTTTATATATAAGTTTTAATATTTTATGTATATATAATTCTTTATTATATTATTAATAAATATTAATATATAATATATATATATTTATTTTATTTATTTCATAAGCTCATATGAAATAAAATAAATTTTACAGTCAAATATTTTTATTTATAATAAAAAAAAGGGGTATATAAAATGTATCTTAAAAAGTATCTAAAAACAGATACAGATACCTCTAAAAAATATCTAGATACAGATACAGATACCTTTCTAAAAAATCTATCTAGATACAGATACTACATTTTTATATCTAGATACAGTATCTTACTTTAACAACTCTGGTAATTATAAATATGTATGTAAAAAATAGTCTGCCAAAAAAAATAATATAATTTTAAAAAAGAATTAACAAAAATGAGAAGAAAAGAAATAGAGAAAAGATATAGTAAGAAAAATAAATTGAGAAAAGATACAAATAAAATAAAGAAATCGCAAAAAGTTAGAAATAAAAGAAGGAATGACAAAAATAAATAAATTTAAGAAAAATTGAAAAGTTTATATATTTTTTTAAAAAAATTACGATTTTATTTTTTTGAATGAAAATTTTCCTTTTTTGATTGACCCTTTTCCTTTTCTTTTGGGAATTTTCCTTTTTCGATTGGCATTTTTCCTTTTTTGATTGAACCATTTCCTTTTTTGTTTGACACTTTTCCTTTTTTGATTGAACCTTTTCCTTTTTTGTTTGACACTTTTCCTTTTTTGATTGGACTTTTTCCTTAACCTTTGGGACTTTTCCTTTTTTGATTGACAATTTTCCTTTTTTGATCGGACCCTTTCCTTTTGATTGAACTTTTTCCTTTTTTGTTTGACACTTTTCCTTTTTTGTTTGACACTTTTCCTTTTTTGATTGAACCTTTTCCTTTTTTGATTGGGACTTTTCCTTTTTTGGATGGGAAACCCTGTATATACAGTTGGTTAAAAATTATTAGATAAAATGCCACTTTTATAGACGTATTTGACAGTTATATAATATATTACAGTTAATATTATAATAAATTTTACTAATAATTGCTTTTGATAATAAATACTGTAACAATTTGCATTCAGGTATTTAACGCCATCTATTTATTAAAAAAGTTAAACATTTTATTATTCATCCTATGTAATTAATTAGATATCTTTTCTTCTCTTTTTTTACATATTTTTAGGAAAGCTATTTTTTTCTTTTTCGAAAAATGTTTTGAGTTAAATTTTTAATATTATATTTTTGATATTATTACAAACTACTTATTTTAAGATACAATATACAATAGAGGTGGTGGGACAATAATATATAGAATCTTAATTGTTTCATCATTTAAATCTGGTCCTTATTTTATAGGCATAAAGTCTTTCATTTCTAATATGGCATACTTGCCGTGTAAATAACTCAAGGCTTCAATATATTTGCATAATTATTTCTTCCAAAGATTTTTAGTGTTTTTATATCAATTTATCCAACATAATAAATCTGATATTAGTTTACACCGTGAGTGTCATGGCTATGACTGCAAATTAACCAGCATCTATTATTTGTGTTAATGTAATTTTAGATTATTATTAAAGAGCATATGATTGCATATTTTATTAAACAATGATGGTCAACTGTATAGTCGTTTATATATCATTAAAAATGGAAGATAATCTTTTAGAAATTTAATATCACACAATAATTTTCTCTATTACTTATCTAGCTTCCATCATGTCATCTAAGAGGATGCTCTAACCACCACATAGTTTTATAATTTGGATTGGTCGTTTATACTCTCTTCTTCAAGAATTGTTGATTTGATTTAGGCCTATAAATTTTTCCTTATTAGTCCATTCTATAAAACATTGTCTAAAATGGTAACAGAAATTATATTAGTTTCATAACCTTTTGTCAATGTAAGTTGATAAGAATTATATTATTACATTATGTGGTTTTTAAAAACTATTATCAATTGATGCATATATATGAATAAAATAACCTTTTTTATCACTTGTAATTCTTTAGACGCAAATTTTTTTTATATCAGCAATCGAAAATATTTTATAATGTTATAAATAGATTCTGTATTAAAAATATTATTTATAGAAATGTCTTGTATTGTTTTAATTATTTATATGCCAGTTTATTTTGAATACATAATATAATAAATGACAAAATATGAAATTTAAAATAATTGTTCAGAGTTAACTAATTTTAAAAATGTATAATATACTAATATAAAACCCTGCCGAAGTCCGAGCAAAAGCGGGCCGAAGGCCCGCAAATTGGGAAGCAGGGGGATTTTTTTTAGTTGAGCCCCCTGAAATTGTAAAGGCTAGCGACGCCCCTGTAATGATGACAACATCAAAGCAATCATAGACATGCCAGAACCAAAGAATTCAGAAGTACTTTCCACTTTTTTAAGAAGCATGGCTAGCCACTACCAAAATTTTTAAACAATTTTACGGATCTGGCAGATCCGCTTTATAAGATAATCAATAAGGATAAATGGACTCGGGATATAGAGCATCAAGAATGCTATAAAATATTTAAAAAGGTTTAATCAGCCAACCTCCTACGTTGAATTTTTTCATCCAGACATACCCATAGGTATAACCGCGGATGCGTTTAAACGTGGCTTCAGATCTATCTTATTTCATATAGAAGGAGACGGCAAAGAGATAGCTTTTGCCTCAAGATCCTTATTAAAAGGCGTTAGCAATCATCTTTGCGACGAAAAGATTCCAGGAATACCTAATGGAACAAAGTTTAAAATTATCATCGATCATAAGCCTTTGATCTACGTTTTTCAAAAGGTTTAAAAGAAAATTCATCTGCGTCGATGAGATAGCAGAGATGGAACATTGCGAAGAACTTCGAAATAAGACACAGAGCAGGCAAGCACAACATGGTACCAGATTGTTTATCTAGATTATCATTAACACAATCAGAAGAAGAAATACACATCGTGGATGATGTAAAAGAAAATAATGACTTGTGGAACGTACCAATTTACTTCAAAATGATAGAAAATTCTTTTTTAAATTTATATTATGAATGTAATTTCAGCATGAAATCATGTGTATTATAAGTATTTACAGCTTTATTTTAAAAAATTTATTATCGAAGTATATATTCACACCTAACTCATTAGGACAAATCATTTACATTATAAATCTACATAAAATAAATGATATATAGTCCTGTGCGCCGACAAAACTATCGGCGGCGATTTTCAACTGATTTTTAGCCTATCAACAAAATCGACGTAAATTTTTTTTAAATAGTTTTTTTCAAAAAAAAATAAAATATACACTACACTACAGATATCACGGCATATTTTTTAATCTTTATTTAAGAGAAAATCGATTTCATAATTTTAAAATTATCATGTATAAGAATTATTTTATTTAAATTTTCGTGATGTAATGATAATCCCCTTGAATTCAACGTCAATCCAGCGGTAGAAAAAAACTCTTTCATTAGGTATGCTAGTCGCCGTAATACAAAATTTTTTTTTGATGAGCCTGAAAAGATTGGGAAGTTCACTCTTCTTTTCTCTCCAAAAATTTAGAACATTCATATCTTGTAAATGTCGTTTCCCAAGAAGAATGTGTTTTTGTTCTATCTAACGTAGAATCATAATTTGTATTTGTTGAATGTTTATTTGCCAATTTTGTCAATAACTTGAATTTAATAACTCCTTTTGAACCTCAATAACTATATTTACTACCTGAATATCATCATTCTCTATAAGTTTAAGATCAAAGCTGAGCAATTTTGCTCTATTATATACTTTGACACAATAGTTAATTATTGAAATCTTTGGTCTAAAAGAGAAGCCAATACCTAGAAAATCTTTTAAATAAAAAATAAATTAATATA